TACTGCGCAATGAACGACGAGTGAATATAATTATATTGAATAAACTTCCAACTGTTCCTAAAGTGATTTGAATAGCTGGAACAATGAGATTGATCCAAAACGATGCTGTATTTAAATTTGTAATTAGGTTATTCGTTGAACTCGACATGATAAGAAAGTGACTACAATCTCTCTCATGAGAACTAATCTAATAGATATAGATTTTTTTGACAAGATCATTATCAGTGAGAAATGATGCACAAAAGGATACGTATGACATCAAAATGATTTGTTTTTAGTAATTAGTAGTATCATCTGGAAGCGACATGAACTGTTGACTGAAAATATGTCACAACAAGATCACAAAAGTATAAATATAGATAATGTCGTTTTTCACTTATTATATTTAGAGAAACAGAACCTGTTTGTATTTTTGATTTTATTAGAATTTTTTTACGTTTTACAAAGAAAAAATATTCAATTGACTTAAACATTGTTAATCTTTTTAATAATTGGTTTTCTTTAAATAAATGGTCATAAGCATATTTTAATGTTCTATTTTCTACTATTAGCTTATCATATTTGAAAAATTGTTCCGTTTAATCTTTTGACAAGAAATCATTATGTTGTTTTAAAAAATAATTTTTAATATACACGCACATACCACTTCTCTTCACATATCATTATTATCTTGTCATACAACATTATTATTAGAAATCAAAGAGAAATAAGATACACATACTTGTAGAACTCGTCTTATTTAACATATAACATGTCACTTGAACAACAGATACAAAAAGAAAGTGAACGTTTTCAAGCTTTATTCGATCGTTTATCCGATGCGCAATGGAGTGATGGCGCATTACCAGAAGCACAGAATTATTTGATTACTTGTAAAGATCATGTTCGTCTCGCACAAGAGAATATTACTGAATTTAATACAGCAGTTGAAAAGGAGCACAAACGTTTACTTGACATAAAAGGTCATGGTGTTAGACATACATGGTACAAGGTTCGAGGTAAATTGGAAGAACGTTTGGATGAACAAGAAAAAACATGGCTTCAAGAATTCGAAAAGTGCAAAGAAGAAGAAGAACGTCTAATTGTATTACAAGAAGAAGTTCGTTCTGCTGAAACATATTTACATGAATGTCAAACCGCTTATGACGAGTATATAAATACCAAACGAGAGTTAGATGAAATATTAGAAGACTTCTTCTCTGGTAGTACACCTTCGTATCCTGAAGAAGACGTAATGGAACAGGATTTAAAAAAACAAGAAGAACAATTAATAAGTTTACAGAATCAACATCGTCTTTTAACACATGTTTTTCAATTATTACACAAAGCCCATCAAGCTGTTATGATCGCTCGTCGTGCACTCGATGATGCACTAAATATGAATACATTCGATTTGTTTTCTAAATCTTCTTTCGCAGACATAGCCGTAAGTTCTAATTTGGCTCGAGCTAGAAATGCATCAATGCAAGCACAACAATTTCTCAACGAAGCCAAGCGTGTATCTCCAAATATACCACATATTGGTCAGATATTTATTAGACAAGATAATCTTGTTTTTAATATTATGTTCGATAATATTTGGACTGATATGAGTATGAGACAAACAATTCATGAAGCATTAAATCGTATGTGTCGTGCTGATACATTTTTGTTGGGTATTTTAGCAGGAATGAAGGAACAATTGGAAAGATGCGAAGTTGATCGAGACAAGAAAAGTAAACATGTGAAATGTCTGGCAACTGAACATTTTATTAAGAGAATTACTATTGTGCAAAATATTATAAAAATGCCACCACCATATTCATCCGAGGTTTAATAAATCGACTATGATTATAACTGTTTCTTTTTTCTTTTATTTTCACATATTTGTAACAATAATCTTATAGTTTTTCAAAGTATAATATATCCATATAAAATTTGTCATCAAAGATATTACTCGTTTATGTGTGTCTAGACAGTCGTTGATGATATCTGATATTGTTTTTGTTTATTTATATTTTGAAATAGTTACATTACTCAACCTGCAGATCTCTAAATATAGTCTCGTAATTTGGCAAGGTCACTTTCTCTGCAGTCTTTGATTTGGTGAGTTTTGTCATAAGCTGGGTAACGGGAGGTCTGGCTACAAAACTTAATACAATATTTCTGAGCGCAATTGCAGTATGAGTTTCTGATGAAACAACGCGATCCATTCCTGGAATTATTTTCTGAGCTGCGGTAACGGGGTGTGGGTGTGGGTTGTTGTTGGTTTGGTTACAATGAAATAACCACACCCACACCCTAGACAGTAAATAATGATCAGACTAATAAATACTGTATGTTGTTAATTATGATTGTTTTACATAGAGAATAGATATGAATGCAAATAAACGATCATCCAACGTCAATAATAAATGTTCTAATGCGAAAAATAAAAAATTTCGAAGTAAATTACATAGAAAATGTTGATAAATCATTTGAGAATTTATTTTTGTTTATTTATGTAGCAACATTACGTAGAGAAAAGTAAGAAATAACAATATTTTTTGTATTCTCGTTCTTTTTTTGATATCTTATCTAAAAAACTGTTAACTACACATATGGAAAATTTTTGATTATTTCCATAGTTGTGAGATTTCTAAAGCTTTTGTTAACTTACCTTCTCGTTTTCAACATCTTCTTGAATGTTCATTAATTTTATTCTTAATTAAACTTCGTTGTGAAACATGTTGATTATTAATTGTTGTAAAACGCACTACAAAAATCTCAATAATATTTATCGAATGATTTTCTCTTTAACAGCTTGAGAAAACGCAGTCATTTAACAGTACGCCGGGTTGATAATGATGTTTAAACGAAAATCTATTTACCTATTTCTGTAAACGAACGATTGAGCAAGATTTCTTCTCAAACGAAAATATATTACGTATTGAACAAGAATTTGCTGAAAGTTATCTTGATGCTGATCGATGGACACGATTGATTACTTCAT